CTCCAGGGCCCACACACCTAATCACTATGCAGTGCTGTCCTCCTGATTGTTCAAAGTAGCTTCCCCAGGCATCCATTGGTAGGAGTCTGCAGGGGAGAAAGGAATTCTTAGCTGAGAGATGGCTGGGCAAAAGCACAGAGGCAGGAGTGAGTTTGGCCTTTTGGAGAGACAGTAAGTAGTTTGAAGCAGGAGCACAGGGAGTCTCTTCAGGATGAGAGTAAATGGAGATCAGCAATGGAGGGTTTGGGCTGCACGAAAAGGGGGTTGTACTTTTCCCTGTGGGCATGCAGGCTGTGGTGGTAGATGTGAGGGTGAATAGCTAGCAACATCTTTTAAATCAGAGGGTGGCCTTTTAGAAGGATGACCATGGCTTGGAAGACCAGGTAACTGGTTTATTTTTTTTTTCCATTCATTTGTTCAAATGCCAGCCCCATCACTAACTCTGTGTGATCTTGGCTGAGTCACTAGGTCCCTGCACACCTTGAGGTCTCAGCTACAGAATATGGGGTGTGATCCCTGCCTGTCCTGCCGCAGTAGGTGGTTGTGAGAATCAGATGCAATTGTGGCTGTCCCAGGGCTTTGTGGGTGGAAGCAGCCCAGGACAGTGGGCTCACTGTGAGAAGGTGAACTGTTGAACAGGGCATTCCTGAGGAACTACTGGCCTCTGCAGCTTCCTGGCCACTTCCTTCCCAAAAGCCCTTTGTTCTGCCCTTGGGAGGTGAGCTCATCCTACCTTGAGTCGGACACGTGGGACTGGAGGCCCGTCCTGTAGGCAGCTCAGGGGCTAGTCCAAGGCCTCCCCACAGGCTTAGAGAGGACCAGTTTGTCACCTCTTTAAGAACAGCACACCCCTTAGCTAAAGGTTCCTCTCCAAGTACTTAGGAACCTCCTTCCTGAGAGGCAGCTTGGGGCTGTGAGGTCAGAGAGATCTGGTTGTAAATCCCATCTTCACCTTCTTTTTGCTGTATGCCGAGCACCTAACCTTTTTCAGCCTTAGTTTCCGTATCTGTAAAATGAGGTAATAGCACCCACCAATGTGAGGGTCAAGTGAATCAGGTGCCCATTCTTGACCTCTCAGCAGCAGTAAACAGGAGATCATGCAGAACTATGACCCAAGGTCGGCTCAGCAGCTTAGGGTCCCCATCAAGAGAGGTAGGCATTTGTTTCTCAGAAGAACTGGATACCTAGAGTCTTGGGGAGTGGGTGGATAGAAAATTTGGGAGGGTATCCTTTAACTGGGAGTCAGGACAGCTGAGTTTTAGTTTCAGCTCTGCCGCTGACTTGCTATGGGTTTGGGAGCAGGGCACATGTCTCTCTGGGCCTCAGTTTCCTCATCAGTCAAATGACACCAAATAATTTGACCCAGATCTAAGTTTTAAAATTAGAGAACAAGACTATTTAAAGGCAGTAGCAGCATCTGAATAGCCAGAATATCCTTCCCTTTTTTTCTTTCTTTCTTTTTTTTTTTTAAGGCAGTTTCATTGGCCCAGGCTGGAGTGCAGAGGCACAATCACAGTTCATGGCAGCCTCAACCTCCCTGGGCTCAGGTGATCCTCCCACCTCAGCCTTCCCGGTAGCTGGTACTACAGGCACATGCCACCACGCCTGGCTAGTTTTTGCATTTTTTTCTAGAGAAGGGATTTTGCCACGTGGCCCAGGCTGATCTCGAACTCCTGCGATCAAGCCATCCACTTGCCTCAGCCTTCCAAAGTGCCAGGATTACGAGTGTGAGCCACTGCACCTGGCCAAGAGCCAGCATTTTCAGCAAGTGCTCCTGTCTCCCCAAATTCCCGAGTGATCTAAATAATTAATGTGGACATTAGCATGAGTGTGGAAAGCTCTTTCAGGAGTCCAGGGCACCTTCTTACTCTAGAAATCTTTATTCCATTGCATCACCTCTTCCCCTGTCCTAACAGATCTGTACTTTTAGAAGATAATTGTCCAGTCTCTCTCTTTAAAAATAACTGCTTCTTTTTAAACTCTAAAAGTTAAAATAAGAATCACTGTTTTTCCAGTCACTTGGAAATCCCTGCTGTTAACATTTGATCTTTATCCTTTATGTCTTTTTTCTCTGGATGTATTTCTTTGTTTATTTCTAATGGTTTTAAGGTATGGATTTGACTCTATGTCTTAAAACGGGGTCCCAGACTTTTGATTCAAGCCAGACTTCCAGGGAGCATGCCATGCAGCCAGCCTCAGGTCCCCAGCCTCAGGGGTGACAGGAGCTCTTCCTTGAGCCTGCTTGTGTTGTAGAGAAAGTGGATAATTCCCTCCTGAAATGCAGGGATGGAGGAAACAATCATAAAACACCGTCTGCTGCTATCTTCAATTAAGCACTGACCGTGTGCCTGCTATATGCCAGGCACACTTCCCTTTGTGTATCCCGAATTCAGCAGTATTCAGAACATATTTATTGAGTGCCTACTACCATGTACCAGATATTCCTCTAGACTCTGGGCACACAGCAGTGAACAAGACAGATAAGACTTCTGCCTTGTGGAATTTAAAATGCATTAGGGAAAAGCACAATAATCAGATAAGCATATATATATATTAGGTGTGTGTGTGTCGGGGGGGTAATCCTGTGATGAAAAATCAGTACGGGGGCCAGGAAGTGATTGGGAAGAGTGGGCTGGGAGCTATTATAGTTAGGGTAAGAAGATAATTGTTGAGGAGGGGAGGAGGGAGGTTATATTCTGTGAAGATTTGCGGGAGGGTTCTGATTCAGAGAGATAGTTGAGGGAGGCAGATGAAAGCCAAGGTTTAGCTTGTTTAAGAAACAGCAAGGAGGCCAGTGTACTTGTAGCACAGAAATGAGGCTTGAGAGGTACTAGGGGCCAGTTCTTACAGGAGCTTGTGGGCCCTAGTAAGGACTCTGGTTTATTCTAAAAGGCTGAGGAAGCCTTTGGAGGGTTGAGAGCAGAGAAGTGATATGATCCAAATTACACTCTAGGTTTTGTAAAATGAACACTTATCCCCTTTTGTGGATGCTTAGAGAGATTGGGTTGCCTGCCCAGGGCCAGTGAATGATGGTTGTGGGACATGAACCTAGATCTGTCTGGCTTCAGGGCCTGTGTGCCCTCCCATTGGGCCACCAGGCCTCCCATCAGCAGGACTATCTGTCTGGAGATGGAGATAGAGCCCCTCTGAGGGACTCCCACACCCCTGAAGCTCCTCCCAGGCACTGGGGACGACCTTAGGGACTTGCATACCAGCAGAACAGCCTGCCACCCAAGCTGCTGGCCCAGACAGTGCTTCATGACTCATCCAAAGAGGAGGTCTCCACCACCACTGCTGTACTCAGCACTCCACCTGCAAATAGTGTTGCTGTATGCTTTCACTGTCCCCAGGAATGTTAGTGGTAGGGGATTTCCAGATGGTACTTACAGCCCCTCCTCACTTTGGTCTTCAAGGCTGACCAGGGGCAGTAGCCACAAGCGGTGCAGAGTGAGACATGGTTATAAAGTGGAGAGGGCCTGAGTTATGGGTCGGATAACCTCAGGCTCCAGCTCAGCTCTCTACTTGTTTATGATATGACCTTAGAAAAGTTGCTTCTCTAAGCTTTGCTTTGCCAGTCTACAACATAGAGATGATAGTAAAGGCTTTGTAGGGTTATCATGAAGAATAAGGTTTAAATTAGCTAGTTGCAGAGTTTCTGGAATAATAAATAACATGTGGTAGATATAGGGCAGGTAGCAGCTATTATATTTAGCATTAGTACTCCTACAGTATTTGTGTAGCTCTTAATACTTCTTCCACCATTATCTCAGCTGATTCATGTAACAACCTTGTAGCTCAGTATTGTAATCCCTTTGAAGGAGGCAAGATAAAGAAAGGTTAAGGGTTATACCAAAAGTCGCACAGCAAGAGAGTAGCATCAAAGGGTCTTAAATTTGGGAATACTGGCTCTAAGACCTGGTCAAAGACAGCGGGAAGTTCCTTGGTCCAAAGTTAGCTTTCTGAAGTCGGTCCCTTCTTGGGTGCGTGCAACAGGCTGAGGCTGCCACTGGATTGTTAGAAATGCTTCACCGCAGAGTCTGACAGTGAGGTGACAGCAGTCCCGAAAAGATCAGGAGACAGGCTCCAGCCTACGCGAGTGTGAATCATACCACTCAGCAGACCTGGCTGCGACCGAAAAGGGCAAGTATGTCTGTCTTCATTCTGGGCTAGAAGTAGGTAAAGTCACAAAATGCTGTGCTGCCCTCAGTGCACTTGGGGAACAAAGAGCATCCTCTTGTGTCTTCTGTGGAGCTCCATCCTTGCTAGCCAGTCATCACCCGGGTCCCTGCGCAGCTAAAGGGCCATGATCCTCTGCTCAGCATCAATCTGGGGGCTTGGGAGAAGTAGAGATTCTCAGGCCCTACCCAACCTGCTGACTGGATCTCTAGGGATGGGCCTCGGCAATACTCAGCTCTCCAGAAAGTTGGAGAACCATGGCTTTAGAAGACAATGAGCAAAAATGCTGACTTTCTTTTTTCTTTGGGCTAGCCAAATGAGTGTCTCTAGCCACTGTTTAAGTAGATGTAGGCGGTATTAAGTAGAGAGAAAGCACAGGCTTTGGAACCCACGCTCTAATTCCTGCTTTGAACTTTGGTAGCTGGTGACCTTGGCAAGCCCCATTATCTCTCCAAGTCTCAGTTTCCTCACCTGTAGAATGAGAATTGACTGCCTTCCTCACATAGCCATTTTGAAGGTTTGAGAGGCTGGATGTAGCCTACCTAGCTCAGTCTCAGACACATGTCAGTCCTCTTCAGTGAGAACTGTGATTTGATGCACACAACTGCCAGACTCTGGGTTTGTATAGACAACGTTCCTTCTGGATGCTGTGCGCCAGGTGGACCCCTTGCACATGTGGCTTGCACACTGACCCATTGCCCAGAAACCGTGTCCCGCTGGTCTCACGCACACAGCTGCACCAAACAGCCACTTCGTGTGTTTCTCTACTCCTCCCCTTCATCGATGCATGACTCATTGCTTCATTCATGTCTCCATGTGCATAGAAACCTAGGCAAGCAGCCATTCCTAGGGACATTGCAGGACAACCTCATTGAGATGGACATTCTCGGCGCCTCCCGCCATGATGGGGCTTACGGTGACGGGTAGGTGACATCCCCATTCTCCTCTCTGTGTGTGCTCTCCTTGTGGTTCCTGCACTTGCATGCAGACCCTGAGACCTTTCCCTGGGATCTCCTGGGGGAGGTAATTCATGTGGCATGCTCATTCCCAAGTCCATGTTCAACTTGCAACCGTTTATCCTTGGAATAAACCCTATCCTCCAGCATATTAACAGCAGTCTTGTTAATATGCAGCTCTTAGCACCTCATTGGCTGCCTTTGCCATCCCAAAAACCATCTCACACAGCATTTTTAATGCAGCACAGGCCCTGTGTTGTATGTACTCTGGCCCTGAGTATGCATTCTGTGGCCTGAGGCACCTCGTACTCCAACAGGTGTGGGTTTGCTCGAAGACTTCTGGGGGGATGCAGTGCAATCAATGCACCCCATTTCCCAGGCTGTGTGCAAGTCCTCCCATGGCCATGGTTAAAGCCAGGCTGTGGAGGAGCTCCTGACACCTAGTTTGGCCACAACCATGCGCTTTGACCATACCCCGCTGCCCTCATGACTAGGCTGTAGGGTGCAGTTGCCTGTCTGTCCCCCGCACAGCTTTCACCTTGGGCTTAGGAAGCAGCCGTCTGGCTTCCGGGCAGAGTGCTTTGAAGGCATTTGCTGCCATTGGCTGTGTGACAGCCACTAGGGGACTCCTGGCCATGGCAGAACTTAGTGGCGGTTTCTTGGCTTCAACACCAATAAAACCCCCTTTTAAAAGAAGGGTATTCCAATCCTCAGTTGAAGCAGCAGAAGCATTGGAGGGAGAAGAACAATTTTAGGTCTCATTATCTCCAGGGGCAGAACAGGATTTTAGATACTTTCCAAGTTACTGTAACAATTTTACAGAACAGGAAGTTTATTTTCCAAGAAACAGCATCCCAGCCCCGTCCATTCCCAGGAAAAGGATCTCAGTGCCAGCCTTCTGTCAAGTTGGTAACACCTTCTGCCTTGCCTTGGGTGGGTTTTCCCATGGGTAGGGCTGTCCCATCCGTGTTCCATGGAAAGATGTCTCCGTGTGCCCTGTTTCGTGGTCTGGTCTGTGGCTCTCCTTGTTCCTGTCCTTTCCCAGGTCTCTGTGGTGACTCTCTCTATCCAGGTTCCTCTGCATGCTTCTACTGGCGACTGTGGCCTCCAGGGTTTTCTGGGTGCCTGGTCTGTGGGCAGCCCCTGACGCCTTCTTGCTCTCCATCCGCAGGCACTTCCTCTTCAAGCCTGGAGGCACCTCCCCGCTCTTCTGCACCACATCACCAGGGTACCCACTGACGTCCAGCACAGTGTACTCCCCTCCGCCCCGACCCCTGCCCCGCAGCACCTTCGCCCGGCCAGCTTTTAACCTCAAGAAGCCCTCCAAGTACTGTAACTGGAAGTGCGCAGCCCTGAGCGCCATTGTCATCTCAGCCACACTGGTCATCTTGCTGGCATACTTTGTGGGTAAGCACCTCTTCACCCCAGCTTCCCTTGGCTCCCCTTTGGCCCAGAGGGCAGCAACCAAGACACATGTGGGCACTGAAGTCTCCTTACTAGCGTGGCAGGCAAAGCACACAGTGTGAGCCAAGCAGCCCTGGAGCTCTGGATGGTCTGCACCCATGACACTGCCAGGGTCAGCTCTTTGGGGCCCTTCGCTCCTTCCTCTCTGTCCCTCTGCATTTATACCAGGAAGGAAGCTAAGCATCTGTCCTTTTGTGTGTTGGGTGCCTGGTATTAAGGCATAAGCACTCAGTAAGACTAACCTTTGAGATAGGGAATCTATGGCATGAGTGTCATGGATTGAGTCTACAACTAAATGACAGGTTGGAGAGGCTGAGCAGGTAGTCTATCCTGTTGGGACTGCATGGCTGCAGTGAAAAGCAGGAAGGAGGTGGAACATCCTGGAGTTGGAGGCAAACAGGCAGGAAAGCATATCTGAAGGTGGATGTCTGGCAAGGCAATTGCAGGGTATTACGGGATTCAAGGTCCAGAGTTAAACCATGGTCAAGAACCTAGGGAAATTCTGACAGAAGCAGAAGGTCCCAGCCAGCACAGAGAGCTGAGGACGCTGGCTGAGGGAGCACAGGCATGGAACAGTGCTCACCTGACCCTGGGTGTGAGCACAGACATAAGGAGCGCCTCCTGACTTCTGCCTTGCTACAGCAGATGGTTCCCACCAGGCAGTCTTCTGATGCATTTCTAACACGGCCTGGCTTCCTACCTCTGATCCCTTGCTTTGGTCTTTTCCCAGGAAAGATCTTAATCCAAAGAGATTTGTGGATGTTGTAGGGTGTGCTGCCTCTGTATAAATCAGCCTCTTAGTAAATGCATTGGAAGAGAGGTTGGCTTAAACCTTGAGGTCCTTTCCAACCTTCTAATTCTATAATTCAAAGGGTTAAGGTAGGTTGGGCCAGCTTGAGAAGGCCTCGAACCCATGCTAAGGAATTCTAAGATAATTCTGCAAGCAAAGGGGACTTTTTCAGCTCAAACCCAGGAAATAGAAATAGAACTAATTGGCAGAGGCCAAAAAAGGATGGAATGCTGTCCACTGTGCAAAATAACTTGGTAACAAGCAAAGTCATTGTGGCCGAACAGCGGCTGTCTTGAGAAGTAGTAAAAGCTGTTGCTAAGAATGATTAATACAACATGGGCCACCACGTGTTTGAGAGATAGAGCAGGGGTTCAAGCATGGATGGGGGTTTGAGTGGCATAAGATGTAAGGTCAGTTCCACTCAAGATTCTTGAACTTTGTAAAAATAAGTAATCGCAGGAGACTGAGGCAGGAGAATCCCTTGCACCTGGGAGGCAGAGGTTACAGTGAGCCAAGATCACACCACTGCACTCCAGCCTGGGTGACAGAGTGAGACCTCGTCTCAAAAAAAAAAAAAAGTAATCAGGAAGATGACAGTCCTGCAAACAGGGAGATCTCCTTCAATATCTCAAGCTATAATAAGCCTCCTCTGGCATGTCAGGTCACTTTTCCCCTTGTGAGTATTGGCTTAGAGAATTTCATGGCTCTAAGGCCAGGGTGGCATGCATATGTCATCTCCTCTTCTGTCTGATTGTTTGGTTGCTGCTGCCTAGAACGCTGTGTTGAGAAAGATACTGGGGCTATATTTAGGCTCAATGTAAGAGACTATCTGTGATTGATTAGTGATGTCTGTTAGGATCACAGAAATGGAGATTATTAATAACATGTAAAGATTTGCCATCCCTGCTATGAGTCATTGTAGAAATGAAACAGCTGAACTGGGAGAGGTCACGGCCTACCCAGGCTCTATGAGGTGCACCATTGATATAGAGTGGGTTGCAGGTGAGCGTTGTATGGTTCCAATACCATTACTTGGCAGGAAGGTTTCTTCTGACACCACCAATAGTATGTCACCACTAACCACTGGCACAGCTTTTGCTTTTGACGTTATTATTTTTCAGAAGTGAGTAGACTTCTGGACAGGCAGTCGTAAGTCATAATGCAAGTAGTTTGCTGCATATAGACATCAATTTGTTTTGTGTTAAAGTCTTAAGGTTTATATCATATACCTAATTCAGTGAGAAAGACTAAATGTTTACCTGATTAATCAAATTATCTCCTGTTTTCCATCTCATGGGCTTCTTTCTCTCCCAGTTAATAAGAATTCATGATCAGTCTTCAGCTATCTAAAGATAGGGGCAACTGTGGGAAGTAGTGAGCTCCCCGTCAGAGGAAGGATACAAATAGAGCTCAGGGACCACTTAGAATAAGATTCAAGCACTGCCTGAGGGTTTTTACTGGGTAACCTTTAATTTTTCTTCCAACATTGACAGCCTTCAAATCTAGTTTTGTGAATTTTAGTTTTCATTCAGCAAATCACGTGGAATGCCTGCTGTAAGCCAGTCTCTATGCTAAGTGCTAGGGTTAAAGATACGGTCTCTACCCCTGAGGTATTCATAACTTAAAAGAAGAGATAGCTATGTTAGCAGGCAAATCTGAAACAGTGATTGATTTACACAGAGCTCAGGGGCGGTGGGAATACCCAACCCCAGCCACAAGGAGTAGGAAAGGCTTCCTGGGAAAGGTGATATTTGAGCTGAATTTTAAAGTAGGCATTAGCCAGAAGTAGACATACAGAAAGGGTATTTCAAAGCAAGAGAACTTGCAAAAAACTTGAAAGAGGATGTTGTGGTGGCAAAGACATTTTCTTTGTTTGAAGCATTTGAGGAGTGTGGGGTGCACCGTTGGAGCTAATCCAGAAGTGTTTCGTCAGGTTGTGGAGATCAACTTGGAGGACAAGTTGAGGACCTTATCGGGTGGGCAAGGGGAGCCACTGAGCAGTTTTAAACAGTGGTAGGACACAGGTTTTTATTTTAGAACGGCAAGGGTAGAGGAAGGAAAGAGTAGAAGCATACCTGTTGGGAAACTGTTGCATTCAGGAAAAGCTGATGGCTTTAACTACAACACTGACAATGTACGTGGAGAGGAGGAGGTAGATCAATTTTCAAGAATTTGTGTCTCAAGCCAGAGATGATCAGTTCACTGATAGTGTGTCCTTGCCAAGAATAGCACAGATATTTCTACACAGATAATATTTTATCTGTGTAGAGATACTGGGACTAGACGCTAGGGCTCCTGCACAAGGATCAAGTCAGAGAGGCCAAGCCTGGGGCGTTCCCTTTGTTTCCTGGAGAGCCAGCAAGGTGCTGGGGAAGAGCTTAGACCCTGCATGACAGCCCTGAATTCCAGGCCCTGCCCTATCACACAGCAGCTGCTCACCCTTGGGAAAGTCATTTATCTTCCTGAGTTCTGATTTGCTCATCTAGAAAATAGGCACAAGCCACACCTCAGAAAGAAGCTCATCAGCTTGGTGTACGCTAACCCAGGTGAACACGTTGCAGGTGTATGAACCTTCCCAACCTTGCTTCACAAGCTAGGGGGTAGGGTAGCAGCCTTATTGCTTGGCCTCCTCCAGCTGCTGAAGACAAGGCGTGAGCATCTTGTTGCTTGGCCATAATTACAGGCTGTGATGACTAACTTGTAAGGAACCATCAATTATTAAAAATCAAATTAATTGTCAGCCGAGCACAAATATCCCTAACAAAGACTCCTTTCCAGCAGACCAACCAATCTAATCAACAGGCAAAAGCACAGATATTTAATTAGATTTTTGATGAAAAATTGTGTTTAATTTCAAGTATAATCAATTATTAATTACTGTAATGAGTGAGTCTGACTGGGTTTACTAATTAACTCATTTAAAAATTATGAATAACCTTTTCATTTATAATTATTTTGTACATCCTATCAGGTTCCAGATAAGAATTGCAACTCACCAGCAGAGTGGGAGGCAGAAACAGAGGGTGGAAAAGAATTTTTCTTTTGCTGTTATCTACCTAGGGCTGTTATATTTAGTTGGTAATCCTGACAGATTCATTTAATGTTCAGTTTGTTTGTTGGTTGGTTGGTTTGGAGATGGGGGTCTTACTCTGTCACCCAAGCTGGAGTGCTCTGGCACAGTCATAGCTCGCTGCAGCCTCGAACTCCTGGGCTCAAGTGATCCTTCCACCTCATCCTCCCGAGCAGCCAGGACCAGAGCTGTGCACCACTGCACCTGGCTAATTTTTAATTTGTGTGTGTGTGTGTAGAGTTGGTTTCTAATATGTTGCCCAAGCTGTCTTAGACTCCTGGCCTCAAATGGTCTTCCTGCCTCAGCCTTCTCACAGGCTGGGATTACAGGCGTGAACCACCACGTCCAGCTGATGTTCCATTTCTTAGTGGGAAAGTATCTTGAGAAAGTTCTGCTACCAGTGACCTTTCAATTACAGTTACATTTACAGGTATTTTCATGAGAAAATAGAGACACTGGAGTTAGCACGTACCACCCAGAGGCTGCAGAGGCTGGAGCCTTGCCCATGGGCCATCTCCTCCTCTCTTGGGAGTGCTACTTGGCTGCTGTGGCCTGAGCTGGGAATCCAGGGAGGACCCTCACACAGCTGTGGGATCTCTTCAGTGAGAAAATGTGTATTTTTGTCTCCAAGGGCAACAATTCAGAAAGACAGGCACCGACGATGAATTTACGGCGCTTTATTCGCCAATTCTTGCCAATACGGTATTCAGGTCCTTGTTAGTCTCCATTTGAATACCCCGGGCTGTGTCTTTTCTGGAGAAATGTGTTGGCAGAACACAATGGGGGCTGTTGTGCAGGTTACATGGGATGATGTGGAAAGGGGCAACGCTAGTTTTAGATCAAACCCTGAAACTTGTACTGCCAGTTGTTAAAATAAACAATTAAATGCTTTTATTTTATAGCATTTGTTTTTGAAACATGTTTACCAAAGAAGTGTGGTATAGAGTAGTAAAAATCACATTGGCCGCTGTTTATCATTCATAACCGGCAGTTAGCTTTGATTCTAGTATGCTATCCACGTGCCTCTTTCTGTTCTGAGCATGTTGCTGTGTTTCCTCACTGAAATCTCCTAACAATCATGAG